TTTTTTTTTTTTTTTTTTTTTTTTTTTGTTTAAAGGATGCAGGGTCTTGTGGTGAGATCACAGGGCTGGGAATGAGGTAAACTGGGCTCTATTCCTGCCTCTGCCACTGGCTTGCTGCATGGCCCTGGGCAAGTCCTTTTCCCTTCCTGAGCCTCAGTTTCCCTATCTGTAGCATGGGGATAAGCTTCCTCCCAGCAGGGCTGTGCGACTTCATTCAGCAATTTTTGTACAATGCTTTGAGCTCCGAACGAAGACTTGCCCCACTAGCCCAAATGACTTTGTATCAATCTCGGTGCCCTCCAAATACACAGTGAATTGGATAGTCCAGTCCTGAGCGCCTGGTCGCTTCCCTTGCTCTGCGGAGCAGCTGTTCAGCATGACCCTTCGTTTCCTGTCAGTTAACCAGAGCCTACGTACAATGGGAGCTTTCCTCTTTGCTCTGTATTTCCCTTAATAGCCTCTTCACAGTGTCATGGATTTTGGGGCCAGATGGGACCATTATAATCCTCTCGTCTGACCCCCGGCGCGGTTCAGCCAGGGAATCTTGGAGCCTAGAACTCCTGCTTGAACTACAGCCTAGGAAGGCCCCTGGTGGGGTCTTGTTTTGATCTGACTTTTAAAGAAGCCATGTCTGTGCACCTCCCAGCGGCTGGGGGAGGGGTTAGCCACGCAGTTCAGTGGGACCAGTAAAATGTGGGCAGCTCGAGTTTACTGCGCTCTGTAAGCCTGGAAAGAGCCACTTCCTTGCTGCCCCTGGCAAGAGAAGGGGGCTCGGCTCTCAGTTCCTGCAGCTTTTGCTGTAAAAATACAAAGTTCCCGGCTGTTACAGACACACAGCAAAGATTACACACGAGACCCTGGTGCCACCCAGGCAGTGCCCCATGGGATGTTCTTAGGATTGAGCCCAGTGCAATTGACAAGACTCTGGTCAGTTTTCACTATTGCTGTTCAGCATTGAGCAGCCCTTAAACTGACAAGGATCATGTTGGTTTCACTCTGCTGCTGGCTGGGAAAGCTCAGGGCAAGGCTGATGCGTTCTTTTCAAGACTTTGCTGTCTCTTACCCCAATTGCAGAAGGGGGTGGCTTAGTGATCAGCACCAGGCCTGAACCCCTGCCTTGCCTGGAACACAGGTTCTAACATCAGCAGTGTCCACCGACCCTGTATCTGCTATAGATACATGGGTTCTATGCAGTTGTGTGTGTGTGTGTGGGGGGGGGGGTTGGCCTGGGTTCTTTGTTCAAAATTTGCCTTCCATTGCAGGGGTGGTTGAATTTCTGTGTTTCTGTGTTTCTAGGTTATATACCGCTTGGGGGTGAGGCAGGGGCTTTATGAGGATAAGATGATTTACATCTACAGTGTGCTCCGAGGATGTGTCACTCCTGGCGCTGAAGGCTGAGCATGGTCTGCTGGTTACAGCAGGAGTCAGGATTTCTGGGTTCTGTTACTCCCTGGCTGGGCGGCCATGGGCAAGTCTGCCTCTGTTTCCCCATACAGAAGGTGGGGACATTGTGGGGCTGACTGACCGCATGTGAAGCGGTTTAAGATCCTGGGCTGACAGGTGATGAGAAGAGCAAAGTAGCATTATTAGAACAGCATGTCTTAGTCCCATCCGACCCGCCAGGACCCTCAGCCTAGCTCTGCAAGGAACATGGGAACTCTGTCTCTTGTGAAACATTGCTGATGTCCCAATCTCTCTTCCTCCTTCCCGTGGACTCCCCCATGCCAGTGACTAGCACTCAGCTCTGAGCATGGGGGTGGTTTTTGCTAGGCGTGCAGGAATTGGGGCCTGGCATTTATCTAGGTCCCAATCCTTCTAAATCTGCTTGTGAACTTTCACAGCCCTCTCTAAACGCTTCTCTGTAACGGCGAGTTGGGGGGTAAAACATAACCCTCAGCATTGCAGGGGTCTGCATGCTGGTTAGATCAAAGTTTATTCACGAGAGTGGTTGCTGGTATGTGCATTGCATTAGGGTGACCAGATGTCCCGATTTTATAGGGACAGTCCTGATTTTTGGGTCTTTTTCTTATATAGGCTCCTATTACCCCTCCACCCCCTGTCCCGATTTTTCACATTTGCTGTCTGGTCACCCTACGTTGCACTGTGGATGCAATTCATGTGCATACCATCCCATGGCTCTCCGGCAGCTCCTGACAGCTGTAGCTGCATCAGCAAGGCAAAAATGTTGGGGCTTGTCTGGGCTGTGCTTTGCAGGCAGCTAGGATGGCCCTGCAGCCCCATGCAAGTTCCCATGGACTAGAACCAGACAGGTCTTTGGTTGGACAGAGAGAGATTTTGCAGTGTGGGTCAAGCCTGTGGCTGTTTCAGCCTAA